ACTTGATCTTAAAAACGCATTTTGATTAGCAAAAAAAATAAATAAATAGAAATTATAAAGACAATATATATTACTGCATTATTACTTTTCTTTGAGTCAAACACTTACGTCTCAGAAAGAAACAGTTTCTTACTAGAAAAAACCAAGAGTGATAGAAGAAAACAAAATTTAAAAACCGAAATAAATTTAATTAATGTAATTATATGGTGACCCAACATTCTCATATAAAACACTGCAACGTAAGAACTTCAGCAGTCATGAATGGTTCAAATGTGATAATTAAAGGTAGCTGGAACTGTTGTTAGATGTAACATGTCTAATTTTCTACACTTTTTTGGAACTTCTAAGATTTGATGATGCTACTGCTCTTCTTCAGGACAATTGTCCTCAATTCCTCAACAGCATAATCCACATTTTCCAGGCTTTTTTTCAGGTTTATAAAAAAGAATAATTAAGTGAAACTCATAAGAATTTACCTACAACCAGCAAAAGTCTCATTTATTGATAGAGTACGTATCTTAGAAAGACTAAGTTCAGTAAATAAAAATTTAACTATCCCTGCTAAAATCAACAAAATCCTGAAAATATCAAAAAAAAAATTACGCCTAACGTTTCAAAAAATGGTCTCAAGTACACGATATACAAATAGTGACCAATACAAATGTACTCAGAAACAAATGAAGCAAATATTCCAATTGAGCTGTACAGAAACTACGCATCTTTCCATCGAAACAAATGCTAACCAAAATTCAGTGATTTTGACGTTTACCGACTGATGTAAAGAAGTAGGTAGTCGATAGTAACAGAGCAATCGAGTGAAAACACGCTACAAGCATTTGTTAGAGCAAAAGGGTACGCTGATCCCCTGATAGCTAGGAGATCACTCATTTGCATTTACAGGCATTGGCTACAGACATTGTATCTTGTAGCTTTGTACTTTCTAAGCTAAATTAGCATATCCCCTAACAACTGATGAATAACAGCGAAAAACGTCGCCTGCCTTGTGCCCTTACCGTTTAACACCCGTTACTCCAAGTTAGCATTCATTTTTTGTCTCTTTTCAATGTATCTATCCCAAGCACGCATGGAATATGCTGTTAACAGCTCAAGGTTTCAGTGGGAAATAACACAGCATGGTCGTTCTGCCATGATCGCTTGAGTATGTGTAAAACCCAGCCCCTCAAACTGTTTCACAAATCAGCTTTCCTTCATCCCTCTACTACCGAACACTGTCTGCCTCAATGCTAAACAAAGACACCCCTTTTTATATTTAAGGCTGTTCAGGCTTATTGGACAACTTAAATGGCCCCATTCTTAATCTTCAACAACCAAATTAATTCCTGCTAAAAGGCTCTTAGCAAACTGCCTAAACTCCTACAAGTAATTTTGACCCATTGAAACACCAGCCTCCAACTTCCACATTTTTAAACTTCGCATAACGTAGAAGTACCAAACAAGAAGTAGCACTCTCAGATAAAGAAAAGATAAAGCATAGCTTAATGTAATTCCCGTCCCAAGTATGACCTAACAATAAAGGAAATATGCCTTCATCAGTTCTGACTGCGTTACCACAACACAAATGAACCCCTGAAAAACCTGAACGATTCAACTTTATTTCCGGTAACGATTGAATTGATCAAGTTACTTGCAAGGATTTCTTTCATTAACTACAAACCGCAGGAACCAGCATAATTATAGCCACATCCTGAATTTAACCACTTCTGCTTCCTTCAAAATGAAAAGGTGCATTTTTTGACCTGCTGCTCAATCTTGCAAAAAAAAAAATCCACAACAACCAATGAAAACTATGAGATCAGCTTCCAGTTGTGAAAAATTATGAACACAGACCCGCACCACAAGAAAAAACAAAAGGCAGCTCAAACAGCAAAAAAATAGTTACAAGAACAAAACAATTTCAGTAATATCCACAATTCTATAGCACTGAATTCAGTCAGACAAACCCCTAAGTACCTTACTTTGACAGAAAGTTAAAAAATGTTTCTTTTAAAAAAAAGTATCTTCTTGAACAAAGTAAAAGCATTTCCAATCATAACCTTAAAACCAACAATGGACGAAAATGGTAGCAAAAAATTATACCCAGAACAATACTAAATGAGAAACTCCATCCTAAAAATCCTCTTTGACAGATGGGATTGCAAATGAGTAATAAAAATAAAAACAAATCGCAAGTATCACAGCAAACTTATAATCACCAGAAATACTGTAACAGTAAAAA